GCCCAGGTAGGCCCGCGGGGAGGGGGGCGGGGCCAGAGTTATGGCGTGGGGGTTGGGGGGCCTTGTCCAGGCAGGTGGAAGTGGAAGGTGGATGCCTGGAGCCTAGACCTGGAATCCGAGACCCAGGTGCCCTCCTCCTCCGTGACCTTGGCTGCTGCTTCTGCTGGAAGATGGAGTTGAGCCAGATGAGAGACTGAGCCTCGTCCCCTCCTCCGCCTCAGAGTCATGGGACACGTACTCTTTCATTTTGTGGATTTTTACCACAGGCCTACCTGGGCCAAGCACTGTCTGGGGCAGTAGAGGGCAGGCCCTGCCCTCCTGGGCTTAGATGTTGTCAAGGATCATGGGTGGTGAGTGGACGAGTGCACTCAGGTGTGTGGGAGGTGTGATTCCTACTGCTGTGGAGAAAAGCAAAGCAGTAAGCCAGGGCTATTACAAATGGGTGCTCACGAGGCCCCCTCCAGAGAGGTGACTTCGAGCAGAGGCAGAAGGACATGAGGGAGGAGCCCTGTGGGAATCTAGGACAAGTTCTAGGCAGAAGGAATAGCAAATGCAAAGGTCCTGAGGCATGAATGGGCTCAAGGGAGGAGTAAGGAGGAGGCTGTGCCCTGGAGTGAACGAGGAGGTGGTGGCGGAGGTGAGACTGGAGAGGAAACTGGCCAGTATGATGGAACCTCCGTTAGGCCTTGGGGAGCCCCTGAGAATCAGAGCAGAGAAGGCTATGATTTGACTTGGATGTTAGGGGGACCCCCTGGCTGTTGTGTGGACAGGCATTCTGAATCTCACCCGTGGAGGCCTGCAGTTTTGCTGGAACGATGTGTACAGTGCCCCCTGGTCTAGAGCTGCAATGTGCAGTACAGCAATGCCAGCCACGTGCTGCTAGTCAAATTAATTAGCAACCAGTAAAAGTCCTGCTCTCAGGAGGGACAGCCACCTTTTGTGACTAGTCACAGGTGCCCTGGTCTAGTGGCCCAGCCTGTCCTCTTCTGTGGATCTGGGAGCTGTGGGTTGAGCTCAGAGCAGGGCCGGGCAGGGTAGAGGGTGGTAGGAAGTCCCTTCAAGCCCTACACTGGGGCAGAGCCCAAGGACTTGTGGAGATGCTGAGAACTTGGGGTCCTGGAGTGGAGTGGGCTGACAGACTTGGAACTATCAACTCAGGCACAGCCTGAAGGACTTCAGTCACAGCCTGGCAAAAGTCAGGAGCCCCTGTATGCCCCCTAGGAGGCCATATACTGCCCAGGACAGCAGATGTCTATCCAGTCACAGGGTAAGGTGGGGTGGGTGCAAGGTTGTCGTGGCTGCCCCTACTTCAGGGCTGCTGTCCTGCCACAGCAGGCTCAGATTTGGTGGGAAGAGGTTGAGAGATCCCTGACGATGAGACATGAAGCGGGTGTGGGGAGGGGGTGGTTAGGAAGACATGGGGAGGGGGCAGAGCAAAGGTGCCTCCACCTCTTTGGGGGGGGAGATACTAGCCCCCCCAAGCCTCCAGCTCTGGACTGGGGCTGATCAGACACCCCAGGGAGCTTGTGTCCACTAGACATGTGCTCTCCCCATGCATCTCACACTGTAGTCCCTGCTGACCCTGCCTTCCTATACCCAGGACGACGGCGGGGGCTCAAACCCTGCAGAGCAGGCAGCTTGGCGGTACTCGCAGACCCACCAGGCCATCCTGGGCCCCTTTGGGGAGCTGCTGACCGAGGACGATCTGGTGTACCTGGAGAAGCAGATCGCAGACCTGCAGCTCCGGCGCCGCTGCCAGGAGTACGAGAGTGAGCTGGGCCGGCTGGCAGCTGAGCTGCAGGCCCTGCTGCCCGAGCCCCTGGTCAGCATCACCGTCAACAGCCACTTCCTGCCCCGGGCGCCTGAGGCTGAGGAGGTCCCGGCCCCAGCAGAGCCCGCAGACCCTGCAGAGGCCCCGGAGGCTGGCCCCGGTGGGCAGCCCCTGCCCTTCTGGTGCAGCCACATTGCCCGCCTGGTGCGCAGCATGTCCCTGCTGCTGAAGGGCATGAATGGGCTGGTGCAGGGCGAGGAGAAGCCGGCCGCTCGGCCCCCGCAGGACCCCTGCAGGAAGGCCCCCGCCAGCCCGCCTCGGAGTGAAGCACAACGTGAGATCCAGGAGTGGGGGGTGTCCGTGCGGATGCTGCGTGGCAACTTCGAGTCAGCCCCGGGCCCACCCTGTGGCTCCAATCCCAGCCCCTGTGAGCTGGGCATCCAGCCCGGGCAGTGCCCGAGCGGCTGCTGGCCAGCCTCCACAAAGCCCCGAGGTCCGATCGGAGGGGAGCCCGGGCCAGGGGATGCAGAGGAGGCCAGCGACTCGGGCATCAGCTGCGAGGAGGCCCCGTCGGAGGCCGGTGCGGCGGCCGGCCCGGACCTGGCCAGCCTGCGCAAGGAGCGCATCGTCATGCTCTTCCTCAGCCACTGGAAGAAGTCAGCCTATACACCAGCCCTCAAGACGGCGGCCTGCAGGACCCTGGAAGCCCGCCGCACAGGGCCAAGGGGACAGGAGGTGACCAGGGGACCTCGGCCGCCCTCCCCACCGCCCAGCGAGGGCCCCCGGCTGGGCCACCTGTGGCAGCAGCGCAGCGCCATCACCCACCTGCTGGGCAACTGGAAGACCATCATGGCGCACGTGCCGGCCCGGCAGCTGCGGAGGCTGAGCCGGCGGCCCCGCGGCTCCCTGTCCCCCGAGCAGTTCCTGCCCCACGTGGACGGGGCACCCGTGCCCTATGACAGCCTCTCGCTGGATCTCTTCATGCTGGGCTACTTCCAGCTCCTGGAGTGCGACCTGCCTGCCGAGGAGCGCAAGATGCGCCACTTGCTCTGCTTCGAGGTCTTCGAGCACCTGGGTGCCCATGGCTGGGAGGCCGTGCGCGCCTTCCACAAGGCCGTGACCGATGAGGTGGCTGCCGGCCGCCGAGCCTGGACAGACGGCTTTGAGGACATCAAAGCCCGCTTCTTCGGCTCCAGTCGGGGCCCTGCCTGGGATGCCGAACCCGGTCGCAAGACGGGCCTGACCCCACTTGGGCCCCTGCCGCATGCTGCCGTCCCCAGCACTGAGCCCACGGCACAGCGGCTAGTGTCTGGCTCCCAGCGGGGCAGCTTCAACAGCGAGGACATCTGCGGCTACATTGACCGAAGCTTTGCCTTCTGGAAGGAGAAAGAAGCCGAGATGTTCAACTTTGGAGAGTGACCCGGCCAGCAGCCTGCCTTCTGGATGGGGTTTGGGGGTGGTTTGGGGTTTACCTTTTCTTTCCTTGCTCTCGGCCCGTGCTGGCCAAGTGAGACAGGCAAGCCTGGCAGAGCCTCTAGTCCTGCCTGCTGACAGCGGTTACACGACTCTCTCATCAGGCATGCTTCTCCTCTGAGTGGACACGGCGTCAGAATCCTTCTCACATTGAATCCAGGAGGTGACTTGCCACCCCGGCCCAGGTCCCTCTGCCTGGTCCACCCCGGGTGCCTGGGGTTCCCATCTGTTTCCCACTTTCCCTTCTTCCAGTGCTGTGAGTCATCTAAGGGTCCTGTCCCTCTGTTTCTCTGGTGCTGGTGGCCTCAGCCAAGTCCAGAGCCTGCATCCATCTACCACAAGAGCCTGGGACAGCCCTGGGCTCTGGTCTTGCCTCTGTTCCTCTGGGACCTTGGACCATACCCCTTCACCTCCTCTGTGAATAGGTGGAGCTGGAGGTGGGAGAGGGCAGGATTCTATAGGCATGAGACCCTTCTGCCACACTGCCTGCCCACTCACACCAACTCCTACACCGGCCACACACCTACAGGGTGCTGCTCCCCCAGAGGAAGGCTTCCTGCTGGGCCCTGTCCACCAGCTGACTGTTCACCTACTTGACCTCACAGCCTGAGGAAGGGAGCAGGGCCTGGTTCAGGGCCCCAGCATAGAAGTAAAGAACATCTGTGGGGCATCCTGGGATCACAGTGTGCTGGCACCCCCTCTCAGAAGCTGCTGGACCCAGAGGAGAGCATAGGCTGGAATGGGCATGAGCTGGACCTCGATGGGTTGTGACCACTTCGCACCAATTCTCCAGTGTGCTGGGTGGAGGTACAGAGAAAAGGAGATGGATCCTCGGCGGCTCTGGGTGCTGCAGAGTCTCCTGTGAATGGGGCTGGGACTTTGCTGGTATGGGCTGTGGCTTGTCCCCAGCTTCTTGTCGCAGGCCCCACCGCCCAGGCTGCAGGGTTGAGGAGGGCTGGCCTGGAGCCCAGGAGGACTTTGGGGTGGGGTTTTGCAGCTGTGAGATGGCCCCACTGGGCGGGTAGGGGAGGCTTCAGGAATCCTCCCCTGGCTACCACTTCTCTGCATGCAGGCCCCCTTGGGGCAGAGCTGGGCATGATGGGACAGGCTGGTCAGAAGTCCCTAGCAGTGTCTCTACCTCACTCCCTGGGGGCAGGAGACCCTCAACCCTGGGGATTTTCCAGATAGACAGGCTGTCGATGGCACAAAGAGGCCACAGATGATGATGGGGTTCATGAAGGAGCCACTTAGGAAAGGGTAAAGTTGGAGCATGGAATAGGTGGGCAGTGTGAGCAAGGACTGGAAAGGGAGGCAGCACTGGTCCAGCTCCAGGCAGTGGCTTCACCAGGACCTACTCTGTGGCTGGGCCCCTGTGGCTTCCTCCACTGCCATCAAACTGAAATTGGACACGTGTTTGCTAAATAAAGATCCCCATTCCTGGCTGACCCTTACTCTTCTGCTTGTTGCTCACCAACCTCTGGGAGAGCCGCCTGTGCCCACAGAGCGCTCCACATTGGGTGGGCACCAAGACCCGAGTCCTCATCTCAGCTTGGCGGAAATCCCCAAGGCAACGTCCTTGGTCCCACAGAGCCTCCGACTTCTCAACTGAAGAATGGCAGTGCCCATTCCTGGGCTTGTAGTGAGGGTGGACTGAGGTCCCACATGGGAGGGGTCTCTGTCCTGGAGGTCATCATCTACTCAGACATTCCCCAGCCTGCGGTATTTCAAAGGTAGCATCTACTGAGCAGTGTGCCGTGAGCATCCGGGCAGCTAGGAGTACCTCGAATCCTATTTTTCCACCAGTGGGGCCCTGGCTCCTGGCCTCAACATGCAGCCACTGCAGACAGATGAGCCGGTTCACCAGGCACTGTCACTGCCTGGGGTTGCCAGAAGGCAGGGGTCAGAGGGTGGGTGTGAGAAGAGACCTTGGGTGAGAGTGTGGGAAGGTTTGGGTGTTCTGGTGTCTCCTGGAGTCCCTCTCATGCACCACTTGCTGACAATGTTGTTCCAAGGTCCTGGCGAAGAAGGGAGGATGGGGGAAGGAGGCAGCAGACTCAAAGCCCTGTCTCACGTTGCTTCCTGGCCGAGGATGCACAAGAGAGAGCACTGGGCATGGAGTCAGCATGCCCGGCTGGGGGTATCCTTGCCCACTTGCTGTGCAAGACCCTCCATGGCCTCTGGGCCTTAGTTTCCCAGCTAAGAGCCTGGGGTGAGGCCAGCAAGGGACACCGCACAAGAAGCAGGGGTCCTGGGAGGACCTGGGTAGGCTTCCAGGCAAGGCAAGGAGTAGTAGCTCAGAGTTAGGCTGGGCCCCTCTGCTGGGGCGCTCAGGGGTGACCCTTAAGTGACCTTCTGCAGACACTCTGCTCTGGGGGAGCTGCCTCAGGGATTCCGATTTCCTTAGCCTGGGAAACTGTTTTTGTTTGTTTGTTTGTTTTATGCTGTTTTTTTTTTTTTAGGACATTCCAAGTGATTCTGATGTGCAACAGCGTGAGGGGCATGTGCCTCCCAAGTTGGAGGCATCTTATAGGCTGCAAACATCAGTCAAGTGACCAGAGGCAAACCAAACTGCAAAACCAAGGGCCTCCCCAATGAGTTAAAAACATAGAAGAGGCCAGGTGTGGTGGCTCATGTCTGTAATCCCAGCACTTTGGGAGTGCTGCTGAGGCAGGAGAATTACTTGAGCCCAGGAGTTTGAGACCAGCTGGGCATCACATCTCGTCTCTACAGAAAATCAAAAAATTAGCTGGGTGAAGTGGCGTGGGCATATACTCCCAGCTATTTGGGAGACTGAGGCAGAAGATCATCTGAACCCAGGAGGTCAAGGCTGTGGTGAGCCATGATCATGCCACACTCCAATCTGGGAGACATACTGAGACCCTGACTCAAAAAAAAAAAAAAAAAGACCACCACAGGAGAAAGGGAGTTCTTCTCTCCCAAAGTGTGCAGGAGGAAGGTATTTAAAAAAAAAAAAAAAAGCAGGGCCAGGCACAGTGGCTCATGCCAATAATCCCAGCACTTTGGGAGGTGGAGGTAAGAAGATTGCCTGATCCCATGGGTTTGAGACCAGCCTGGGCAACATGGCAAGACCTCGTCTCTACAATAAATCAAAAAATAAGCCGGGCATGGTGACACACGCCTATAGTTCCAACTACTTGGAAAGCTGAAGCAGAAGGCTTACCTGAGCCCAGCATGTCGAGGCTGCGGTGACTGTGAACATGCCACTGCACTCCATCCTGGGTGACAGAGTGAGACTCCGACTCAAAAAAACCCAGAAAACCGTGCCAAGGGTAGTGAAAGAACCCCACCCTCCCCTCAGCCCCCAACTAATATAAATATGATAAAAGTGTAAGCTGTGTACAGCAATGCATAGGTTTAGTGCAAAGTCCAGTTCTTTTGTTTTTTAAAAAAAACTAAAATTCATTTGGAAAAAAAAAAAAAACGAACAAAGTCTGTAGTAGAGGTCAACCAGCAAGAAGACCCCCAGTAACACCTGCCACCTCGTGGTCACAGTATCTAACCCCCCACATGCACTGTCCCACAGAACGTGGCAGAAACTGAATGTCACTTCTGACGAGGCCATAAAAAGTATCTTGACTACATCTCTGTTGCTCTGCTGATATCTCAGTCATACAGAAGGACCCACGGGGGTAGAATGGGGCCTCCTGCCCACAGCCCCCCTCCACCCTCCCGCCCTAGGCCCATCTTCAGATGATCACATTTCCACTGACCACTTGGAGCAGTCTCGTGAGATCATGGGGCAGAGCCACCCCTGGAAGCTATGCCGGAGCATGAAACTGTGAGATGATAAAGCCTGTTGTTCTAGGACACTAGACTTGGGGCTATTTGTTACACAGCACTAAATAAATAATACAACAGAGGAGACAAATGGAAGAGTAACAGAGAGGCTTCCATTTCAGGTATGATGATATCATTATAGAGCAATAATCCATCAAACACAGTGCTTCTGACCCAAGAATAGAGTCACTCAGATAAACAGATCCAAGCAGAGGAGGTTGACTCCTCACACAGGAAGCGGCCCAAGATAGCGCACTGCAGCACAGGGAAGGAGGGATTGTCAGTAAATGCTAAGAGTGCCGGTGAACTATTTTGAAAGAAAAAAAGGAGTCTGGGCGCAGTGGCCCATGCCTGTAATCCCAGCACTTTGGGAGACCAAGGTGGGAAAACTTCTTGAGCCCAGGAGTTTAAGATCAGCCTAGGCAACATAGCAAAACCTCATTTCTACAAAAAAGTTAAAAATTAGCCAGGCATGTGGTGCCTGCCTGTAGTCCCAGCTACTTGGGAGGCCAAGGAGGAAGGATTGCCTGAGCCAGGAGGTTGAGGCGGTGGTGAGCCGTGATCACGCCACTACACTCCAACCTGAATGACAAAGTGAAACCCTGACTCAAAAAAAAGGGACGACCTATGGCACTCTCTGCCCCAAATAAATCCCAGATGGAGTAAGAGACACAAGTAAGGCCATAAGACACCTGAAGAGGAGGTGGGCAGCCTGATTTGCAGGGGTCCTGTCCTGGAATGTCCTCACAGGCAGAAGGCCCACAGGCCCAGTGGAGGGGAGAGACCTCCACTCATCAAGCTGGAGGTCTCTCTGACAAGTGCATCTGATTTAAAAGATTCACGTACGTTATAACTTGGTGATTTCATGCTCAGAATCTATTTTGGGCAGATAAGCACGAAGTGACGCCATCTTCGTTATAATAGTCCCAACTGGAAAGCAACCTGATGTCCGTGACTAGAAGAAGTGACTGGATATCACTTCCTCTGTGTATTCAGATGAAACTTAAAATGGTATCTTCAAACACAGATTAGATCAGACATGCTCACAGTATAATGCCAAGTGGCAAAAGAGGACACACCCACACATGCAGTTCTCATTTGAGAATAGAAAAGGGCTAGAAGTATGTTCATGGCAATTGTCTTTTACTTGTGGAGTTTTCTGCTTTATATTTTTCTGTGTTTTCCAAAATGAACTTGTGTTATTTTTATCATCATAAAAAGAAACAAGCAGCGTATTTTTAAAGACGGCGCCACTCAGCAGCAATCTGTCGCTGAGGATCCGTTTTGAGCTCCTGGTATTGAGTTTCCCAAACTGACCTGTCATCCGAGGTGCTGGGTCTGCGATCCCCACAACGCCGCTGTGAGGCCTCCACACTTGGCAAGCAGCACTGTGTTCAAGCAGAGCCAGCTCCCGGTGACAGCAGCCTGTCATCAGTATCCCCTGTCCTCATTTCATCTGGCCTGGGCTGGGATTGCATTAACCCTGCATGTTCTCTCTGCAAATGGGGGGACAGTGGGCAAACCCGACACTCCGTTCCCCACTGCAGCACCCTCCCAATGGGGTCCTCGACACAGTGAAAGTTGGGGACATCCATGAGGGTATCTCAACCCACAGGAGGTTGATCCCAAAACTGGAGGAATTTCCTAGGACGATGTGGGAAAGGAGCTAGGGAATGAGTAGGGCCTAGAGCTGGTCTGGGCTGGTCTTGGAGTTTGAAGGCGCATGGACTCATGGAACCCATGTGGAAGCAACACTGGAAGCACCTTGCATACTTGTCATGAGAGCATCAGTCACTGCAGTAATTTGTGTGATGACTGTCCCCTCCACAAGCTGCACACATTGTGGGAGCAGGGACTGTGGTTTGCAGCCCACAGCCATCTCCTCAGCAGGTGGCTGGACCAGCAGCTATTCTCAAAACACAGGTGTCCCATGCCCCTGGCCCTGGATGTCAAGACACCTTGAAACCTTTGAGAACTTGCTGACTTCTGCCAGGAGTGAGGCTCTGTCCCCCAGGGGGCCACCTGGGCACTTTGGGTTAGTAAGAGCATCATGCCCTAGTACACATCAAGAGGCCACAGCCAGATGACACATCCCAACTTCTATGATCCAGCATACCCAGTAATGGTCATATTGTTGAAAAATACAGGTGATCAGGTCCTGTGGATCTGTATCCAGTTTAGATCCAAACATGGGGACTTCCCTTATGACTACCATGAACCACGTGCTGCAAGGAAGGCCACGAGCCACTGTCGCTATATTTTTAGATGACCCTGTTTTTTCACCTTTTGGGGCGGCCCCAAGACCAAGGCCAAAGTGTGATGGGGGAAGGAGCCCCGGGGTCTCCTGTCCCTGGCAGGGTGCCTGGGAATGCCTCCTCCCCTCTCTGGGCCCCACCTTTGCCACCAAAGTCTTCCTCACTGCCACCAGGGACCCTGTGCTTGGGAGGGCTCTGCTGACCAACCTGATAATCACTTTTCCCCATGTGACTAAAGACCAAGAGTCCATGTAGGTACTATCAATATCAACAGTGAAGGTAGCACCCATGGGTGCCCCAGCCCTGAACTGGAGTCTCCTCGAACCCCTGGGTCCCCAGCATGGGTTCCACTGTCCCCATCTTGCAGATGAAGAAACGGAGGTGGAGAAGCTACATCCTCTGCCTGACTGCTGCAAGGAGGGTTAAAGCTTGTCGCCCCTTGCCAGGGAGCCCTTTCTGTTGTGTCCTGGGCTGGGTTGCTCGAGGCACCAGGGCTTCCCTACGTGCTGGGGCCAGCGTGGGTTTTCTGAGTGGACAGTGTGAGGAGTCGGCGCCTCCTTTTCCCACTGGCCCAGCCCTTACTGCCTGACCCTCCCTCCTGATGCAGACAGAGGCTAAAAATACCCTTCCGTTCACCAGCACAGCCCCGCCCAGCAGGCCCTCGTGTCCCTATACTGCCGGCTGGGCAGTCCTGCTCTCTGGTCTGTGTTCTCGGCAGCGGGGCCCAGAGACCGACGGAGAGGTAGGACTGGGGGTCTCTGGAGTAACAGGGGAAGTAGGACCTGGGGCAGGGGACAACGGGGGGGGGGGTGTTATGCTCAGTCAACCCAGGCGGCTGGGGGCTCACAGTTGAGCACTTTGGAGAGCCCCTGCTCTGGTAGTGTCCAAACCAGGCTCCTTGGGGTGGGGTGAGGGCTCAAAGACATGTTTTCCTCATGTTCTAGCTAGAGAGACAGGCGGGGGGAGGGGCTGGACCACCCCTCAGACTGCAGCCAGGGCCACAAGGGCCAGTCACCAGCATGATTGGGCTAAGGCCCTTTGCTGTCTTGCCTGTGCAACCTTTTTCAGTTCTGTGAGTCAGGCACTGGGGTGAGGCTTTAAGACCCTCCAGAAGCCCCTGCCCCATGCTGGGACTGCAGGGTGACAGGTGTCAGCAGGCCCCCTGAGGCCCCTTGGGAAAGTGGCTGGGTGCTCAAACCTGCCAACCCTGTTGTGGCCACTGCAGCTGCTGGCCAAAGGGCGCACAACAATGACCGGAATGTGAGGCCTGTGGGCGGTGGCCCAGGGACAGTCCCCCTGCCGACACAGGGCTCAGCAAATCTCGGTCCGCCCCTGCAGGGCAGAGCTGCCCTCACCCGGGCCAGAGTGGCGCCCGGGGAGGGGGTCGAAAGGACAGACGCTCGACCGGGGGCACCAGGGTGTGGGGCCGGCTGGCCTTCTGAGCTGTCCTGTCTGGGCATGAGCCCAGGCTGGTCCTGGAGGCCCTAGTGGGCTCCCAGAGAACTTCCAGCTCTGCAGGATGGAGACAAACACCAGTTGGTCTGGAAGTGGTGGTGCCTCCGCCCCCACTACCTGCACCAAGGCTGCCCAGGTCAGGCCTCCGCAGTTTGCTGCCTCTCCAGGTGTGCTGTGTCATTGTGATCCCACCAATTTCCCCAGTCTGATGTGCGACCACTTCCCCTTGGACGGCTCTGTGAGGCGCCCCCTCGTGGGCGAATGGATTCTTTGCTGCGCAGCCTTTTGCTCTTGGGCTGCAAACTGTGGCTCATGCAATTGTGCAGGCTTTACCTTTCTTTGGGATGGTTGTCTTAGAGTAAAATACCAGAAGTACATAAACATGCGTATAATTAAGCCCAGAAATGGACTTGCTGACTCAAATGGTTATGAGCCTTATGACTCAAAATCACCCTCTAGGAAGTTGCCTTTGGCAGTTTGTCTTCAGCAAACTAGCCCCTGCCAGAAGGGTAGGTTCAGCCAACCCCAAGCCTGGTTCAAACCCCAGTTCTACCACTTCCTAGCTGTGGGATCTTGGGCAAGAGACTCAAGCTTTCTGTGCCTCAGTTTCCCCTACTGTAAAAGGGGCAATGATAGCACCTACCCAACAGGACTGTTGTGAGGTGGAGTGCTTAATGCACGGGCAAGGCTGGGGCATGGCCTGGCATGTGGGAGCACTGAGGGACCACACGCTGGTGCAGCAAGGTAGCTGGAGCCCCTTTCACCAAAAGTCTCTCAATCAGCAGATGAGGAAACTGAGGACCAGAAAGGCACATGGCTCACCCAAGGTCACCCAGCAAGGTTATGGCAGGCAGAGGGTGAGAATAAGTGGGGGTAGGAAACCCCTCAAAAGCCCTCCAGTGGCTTCCTAGTAATGTTGGATCTGGGACAGAGGAAGTCTCCAGGGAGTTTGGGTGCCTCAGGGGCCCCCTGTCTGTCCTGTGTAGCCCAGAGCTGTGGAGGAGGTCCAGAACTTGAGTTCTCTTACTGGCCCTGTCTTGTCCTGAATGCCTTCAGGATGCCCACTCTTTACTCTCTGTCCCCCTACAGGTAGGGTGTCTGGAACGAAGCAGGTCTCCCTCCCACCCTCTCTGAGCTTCAACTTTCTCACTGTAAAATAGGAATGGCACGTGTCCCTAGCTTGCAGGGTAACAGGGGTGGGTTAAGTGAGATGGTGGATGAAGGGATTTGAACATTGTCCGTGTTCAGCCTATGCTTGTTGACATAAAGGATGGATGGACAGATGGTGGCGCGGATGGGTCACTTGGATGGATGAGACCTGCCCCCCCTTGCCTGACTCTGCTCTTCTCTCTCCCAGGAGCTCAGGCAGCTCCAACCACTTCTTCCCCGTGAGCGAGCAGGCCGCCAAAGGTGTGCTGTGGGTGTCATGGTGCGGAACGTGGACGACCTGGATTTCCACCTGCCCTCGCACGCACAGGACATGCTGGATGGCCTGCAGCGGCTGCGTTCGCAGCCCAAGCTGGCCGACGTCACGCTGCTGGTAGGCGGCCGGGAGCTGCCGTGCCACCGCGGCCTTCTGGCGCTGAGCAGCCCCTACTTCCATGCCATGTTTGCAGGCGACTTCGCCGAGAGCTTCTCGGCACGTGTGGAGCTGCGGGATGTGGAGCCGGCCACGGTGGGGCAGCTGGTGGACTTCGTGTACACGGGCCGGCTGACCATCACGCAGGGTAACGTGGAGGCACTGACACGCACAGCCGCGCGCCTTCACTTCCCTGCCGTGCAGAAGGTCTGCGGCCGCTACCTGCAGCAGCAGCTGGACGCCGCCAACTGCCTGGGCATCTGCGAGTTTGGGGAGCAGCAGGGGCTGCTGGGAGTGGCTGCCAAGGCCTGGGCCTTTCTGCGGGAGAACTTTGAGGCTGTGGCGCGTGAGGATGAGTTCCTGCAGCTGCCTCGGGACCGGCTGGCCACCTGTCTGGCCAGTGACCTGCTGCAGGTGCAGCCGGAGCAGAGCCGACTCCAGGCCCTGCTGCGCTGGGTGCGCCATGACCCACAGGCCCGGGCCTCCCACCTGCCCGAGCTGCTCGCCCTGGTGCACCTGGATGCCGTACCCAGGCCCTGCGTGCAGCAGCTGCTGGCCACGGAGCCTCTCATCCAGGAGTCAGAGGCATGCCGGGCGGCTCTGTCCCAGGGCCATGGGGAGGTGAGTGATGGGCCCAGGGGCTCCCACCCCTGGGAGGCACAAGAAGAGCCCCAGATGCCCCACCTGCAGGGGGACAGAGAGTAAAGTGTGGGCATCCTGAGGCCCCTAACCTTTCAACACTCCCTACCTCAGGTCAGTTCCCTGTGAGGGCATCACCACTCTCTAGTACAGATTGTGCACCTGTATGCACCACACCCTGGATGTGAGGGCATGGGGAACCTGGAAGTGAGGAGACAGGGAATCTGGATTCTAGGGGCATCCTTGGAGGGGCTCGCTGTCGGGGAGAGCTTTCTGGAGGAGGCAACATCTGAGCTGGGCCTCACAGGAGGGTATGAACTTGGCAAGAGGAGAAAGAGGGAAAGTCATCCAGGAAGGTGACACAGTTTTTGCACAGGCAAGGAGGCACCAACAGGCATGGCAGCCTTCCACCACCTGCCCCTGGGAAGCAGTTCAGACATTTATGGGGTGCAACTTCCTGTTTGTGGTGGCAGTGGGCCTGGCGGGCAGGGCGGGTCCTGATGAAGAAACAGGCCCTGTGTGGCTGGGACCAGGAGCTGACACGTCTCGGCTGACAGTCGGGAACTAACAGCCTGCTCTGGCTCTTTACTCCAGGGGACTCCTCTGGAGCCAAATCCCGGGACCAGATGTGCACCAGACTGGTGGCTCTCAGGCCAAGATTAAGTGGGTGGTGGGCAAAATCCTTACCCCTGTTCCCTCTGGGCACTGGCCAGTCTCAAGGGGCCGGGGGCCTGACCCCACTAGGTAGTTAGCTTGTAACTGCTGGTGGTGGGAGGCCAGGGCATCCCGTAGGAGGGGTCAGGGTGGCAGTGGGGAACAACGGAGACCTGGAGGCCCTGGGCAGTGGCTGCTTCCCGACCATCCTGTGTGTAGTATCCAGTGTTTCTTACAGGGCCAGGGCCATCCTTGTGCCTGCTGCAGGCCAGCCAAGGAGCAGGGACCCCTCCCAGGGCAGGGGGACGCTAGCGTGGACACTGGGGACAGACTCTGGGGGATGTCTTCAAAAAGCACCTGGTGACTGTGGAGAGGGCAGCAGCTTCTGTGTGGGAATACACACCATCTCTGGCCCCATGGCCCACAACAAGCATGCACACATACGTATCTGCACACGCACACACACGCATGTGCACACACATGCCGAGGCTGCCTGGCCCACATGTGGGCGCTGGCACCGAGGCAACCCCCGAGCCTTGGGTGAAGAGACCATCACTGCTGCTCTGACCTGGCCTCCCACCCCACAGGTACTGCCCGCCCTCCCACAGAAGCTGGAGGAGGTCCTGGTGGTGGTGGGCGGGCGGGCACTGGAGGAAGAGGAGGCGGCCGAGGAACCCAACCTCTGCCTCGGGAACTTTGCCTTCTACAACACTAAGGCCAGTGAGTACCCCTCCCGTACCCGGGGCCACCACCATCCCTCTGTCCTGCCCTTGTGAGCAAGGTGTTCAGAGGACAGAAAGTGCTGGAGTCCACCGTGCTGGGTGTGCCTGGGCAGAGCCTTGTCCCTCGTGGAGGCTGCAGAGGCGACTGAGGGCCACGGAAGGGGGCTTGGAGGGCACTGCCATCCCCGTCTCCAGTCCGTCTGTTATAGGCCCTGGGGGCCAATGTAGAGGGTTCCGCTGCCCAGACTGCACCTTGTGCATGGGCAGCCTGGCTGGCTGATGAGGGAACCAAGGCCCCAGGGGATGAACCGGGGGCAGGGTAAAGAGGTTCAGGCAGCCTGGAGCGTGAGTGCTTAGCTTCTGAGTCATCCCAAACGAGCTTCCACTCCTGGAAAGGTCATTTCCCCTCTCTGAGCCTCAATTTCTTCATCGGCCAAATGGGCTAGAACCTCCTCACACAGTTGTAGGGAGGCCCTGGGGAAGCACTGAGGCCAGGCCTGCCATTTGGCAGGAAAGGAGGTGTGAGAGACCCCAGCAGAAGTTCTGGAGGGCCTGTGTTGCCCCAGGCGAGCACTTTGGAAAGGGCTGATGTGGCCTGGCTAGTGTCCCGGGGCCACCGGGCAGGTTGCCTGCCGTTCCCACGGCGTCAGCCGCTGGCGGGGTCCAGGAAGTCCAAGGCTGGCTGTCCCGGGCAGGGGCTGACGAGAGGGGATTTGGGGCTGACGTCAGGAGGGAGCAGCTGTCCTTCAGGCCCAGTCAGGAGGGCAGCAGGGAGGGGGCACGCTGGCAGGAAAGGCCTGCTGACTCCTAGGCAATCCCCACCCTGGGGTGACAGAGCCATGAGTCAGGGGGACACTCAGTCCCTGACCACAATGCCAGGCTCTGCTCCCAGGGAGACCCGGAATTCCGTATGTCCCGAAAAGGTCATAAACAATAAACAGAGTCTTCCCAGGGGACATCCCCAAGGACTGGTCTCTCCCACACACACCCAAAATGTGTCAATATATAGGACTTTAACATTCCCACGCGTATTATCCCGTTTTGATTTTTCCAAAACATTTTCTCATCCCTTACCTCAGTTTACCCCATGTAGCTCCATGAGGCAGATCAGACTCAGGCACATTACTCTGCCCTTCCCAATAATAGTGACAATAATCTTGATAGCCACCATCAGCTGAGCAGTTACCTGTCATCTCATGAAGTCCCCACACTTTCTTAGGAGGCAGGATCACCAGATTCAACAAACAAGGAAACTGAGGCAGAGGTTTGTCTAAGGCCATGCTTCTGGGTCATGAGAGCGGGATCTGGACACTCCTCTGCCTGCTGCAAGGCCTGTGTCTCACCCCTTACATGCCTGGCTGCCATGGGGGTACGAAGGGTGCTCAGGATAAATGAATAAACACGTGAATGAATAAATGAATGCATGAATGAAGGAATGAACAAATGAGTGAATGAATGATGTTGGTGTTATAACCCACTAGTGAACCCACAGATCAATTAACCCATACCTCATCTGACTGAGAGGGGGCCAGATCCAGGGGCTAAATGGTCCATTCGGGGTCAATGGGGTCAACTGCAGGATCAGGGTGAGACCTCAGCCTCCAAAACCTGGGTTGCCTCTCACTGCGCCCTTGGGTATAATCCTGAGTCTAGTCTGGGTGCCAGACGCTGAGGGGTAGCATGAGGAGGTGGTGGCTACCATGCCCTAGAGCATGCAGGGCCTGCTCTGACCTTATCCCACTCGGTATCCCCCTCTAGAGCAAGACTGCTCTGCCCTGTCCCTGCCTTTCCCCACTGGTGAGAGGGACATTTCTGCACCTGAGCCCTCTGCCCCTCTCTTCCTGCCAGAGAGGTGGATGGCGCTCCCAGACTTCCCGGACTACCACAAGTGGGGTTTCTCCCTGGCGGCCTTGAACAATGACATCTATGTCACAGGTGAGCTGCTCAGGGGGACCAGCCTTGGCCAGCCAAGCCCCAAGCTCAGTATGCCATCCAAAACTAACTCTTCCCCACTCAGAGTGGTCCCTGATGGTTTAGTCAAGGCTCTTCCGTGCATGTGAAATCAAGGAAATTTAAAATCCACGGGTCACTTGTGCATGCTGGGAGCCATTCTGCATACACTGACTGATGTGGACTCAGGGCTGACCCCACTGTCCTCCTGCAGTCAGGACCTCCCAGGAAGGAACTGTTTGATGGGGGATGTGAAGAGGGTCATTCTGCTGTCTTACATCGTGGAAGTTGGGATTCCTTGTAAGATTTGGTTGGGGAAGTCCTTCCACTGATGGAGGCTTGAAACTGCTGATCTCGTCCCTTCAGTTTATGGGGATAGAGGGATCTGTCCAAAGGCACACAGCCAGACTATGCTACCCACAGTCCCACCCCTAGCTCACCACGTTGGTGGTCCAGGCCTGGCATGCGGGGAGGGGGCCAGACACTGGTATCAAGTCCCCACTGGCTCAAGACTCCAGGTAGGTAGCGCCCATGTGGACAGGACCTCTCTTGGCAGGTGGATCGCGGGGCACCAAGACGGACACCTGGTCAACCACCCAGGCCTGGTGCTTCCCGCTGAAGGAGGCTGCCTGGAAGCCCGTGGCATCCATGCTGAAGGCCCGTACCAACCACGCCAGCGCTGCACTCAACGGGGAGATCTACGCCATTGGCGGTTAGGCTTCCCCCCTCACCCCTCCCTGGGGCTGAGCTTGAGCCTCTCATCCCTGCAGCAATGGGGATGAGACCCTCATGCTGGCCTCAGGGGCCACAGAGGTGCTGTCCCCTGTTGCTGCCCTCCGGGGCCCACAGGACCCAGCCTGGGCTCCCAGCTGGGTGCCACCCCTGCTCCTCTCCCCCCACCCCTCCAACCCCCCATCCTGGGTGTCCTCCATGGCCCACTCCTAGTACTTCTGATGAGTTCCAGGATGATGAGTCAGTACCTAGAAGGAGGCCTGGCAGGAGCTGCTGGAGGGGATGGCCACACTCACTCCAGACAGAGCCTGGGACTCGGCCCTCAGCTCGGGGTCAGGGAAGCAACCCCCCTGATGAGGGGACCCACAGTGACCCTTTTATGGTTGCTTTCATTCCACCTATCCCCCGGCACCCAGAAGTTGCCCCAAAGGACTCGCTGGTCAGGGGAATGTTGAAAACTGAAATGCAGGTGGCTCCAAAGCTCTGTAGGCAACATACTGGCCCGGAGGCCACTCTTAGTGCCCCAACTGTCCTAGTCATCCCTTTGTCTCTCAGTGGCTACTGTGTCCCCAGCCAGAGCACAAAAAGCACACATGGTTCCCAAGCCCAGGACACTGTGAGGTTCCCAGTTCTCCAGGAGGCCAAGGCCAGGGCCCCATGAGAGCAGGGTATGCCCTCCCTCTCCACATGGGGCCCCATCATTGTCACATTCAGACTCTATCTGGGACTTGTGAGGGCCAGGACTGCCTATAGCTCCAGGGTCTTACATCTTACAACCCACCCCTCCCAGGGCTGACTTCCTCCATTCCAGTACAAAACTGGAATGAATGAATGCGTGAGTGAACAAATGAATGAGTTTCCTGTGTGGCAGGCCTGGGAGTGGGCAGCCCTCTGAGGCTCCATCTCTCACTCTGGAGTGGGGCATCTCCAGGTCCAAGTACCCACCAGTGACACCACCTCCTGGCAGTGTGGCCTTGGGCAGGCGCCCTCACCTCTCAGAGCCTCAGCTTCCCAGTCTGTGAAATGGGGATAGCTCTCCAGGCTCCCGAGGGCATGCCCTTCTCTCCCTCTCGAGGTACCAGGGTGGGCCCCCGACTCTGAGTCTCCAAGAACCCTCTCGTCGCCTGCCCCCCGAGCCCTGACCCCCCACTCAGCCCAGACACCACCACCCTGACCCCTGCAGGCACCACCCTGGATGTGGTGGAGGTGGAGAGCTATGACCCCTACACGGACAGCTGGACGCCAATCAGCCCAGCTCTCAAATATGTCAGCAACTTCTCAGCCGCCGGCTGCCAGGGCCGGCTCTACCTGGTGGGCTCCAGCGCCTCCAAGTACAACGCTCTGGCCCTGCAGTGCTACAACCCTGTCACAGGTGGGCAGGGCAAGGCCCAGGGGATGGAAGACAGATGACCATGGGCCCCCTATGAATGGCCAATCCCATCACAGTGAGGTTGGGGTGGCTCCCGAGCACAGAAGGGGCTGGGGAGAGGGTGGGGATAGCCACAGACCTCTCACAAAGGGTCACGGCCCCATAAGAAATGGGTCAGATAGCGGAGAAAGGCAGGGGCCACAGCAACCAGAAGAACAAGGGCAGGGTGTCACCTCCACAGAATCACTGCCCCATTCCAGCCTAGAAGCTGGCTGTGTGTCTGCCCTGCCCAGGCCGCACACAGCAGCTGAAGTTCCCAGCCACCCAGGTCCTGGAAGCTGCCTGGCTGCTTGTCCATCTGGCCTCATGGGCCAGGAGCAGTGACCCCTGACCTCTAAGGTCCCATGTTTGAGTTTGGGATCTGGACTCTATGCTGGCGTTTGAAGCCCAGCTCCGCTCTCCTGAGCTCACCACCCCCACCCTGCCTGCCCCCAGCCTGGTCTCTAGATCTGCTTTGCCCTCTGGAGAATGGAGGTGGTGATGGGGCCCATTTGGCTGTGGGGGTGTTAGGACTCCGCGAGAAATAACTGGGCCCACCTGGTTACCAGATACGGGATAGAACAGGGTGGGGACTGGGCAGGGAGGAGGCAGAGGCCCTGCAGTCCCTCATCAGGGTGAGGTGTGTGTGGGAAGGGGGCGGTGACAACCAGAGCAAAGCCCCCTCCTGAGGGTGAGATTCCCCAGGGACCCCTGCACCCTTCACATGCCCCTTTCCTGTGGTGCGTCTGTGTGAGGAGGCTGCTGTCCCCTCCTTTCCCAAAGGGAGAGAGCCAGGCTAGGTGAGGGGCAGGGCATGGTGCCTGACAGTTGTACCACCAGGCTCACTCCCATTTTACAGATGAGTCCACAGAGGTTCCGAGAGGTGCCTCGCCCTCAGTCCCTCATGAGGGGGAGCCCGACTTGGTGACCCTGGTGACGGTGGCCCTGGTGCCGTATCCCCCACAGATGCATGGAGTGTGATCGCCTCGCCCTTCCTGCCCAAGTACCTGTCCTCGCCACGCTGTGCCGCGCTGCATGGGGCGCTCTACCTTATCGGGGACAACACCAAGAAGGTCTATGTGTACGACCCCGGGGCTAACCTCTGGCAGAAGGTAGGCCTCACTCCCTGCTGGGACTCCAGACACCAGAGAGCAGGGATAGGGAAGGGGAAGGTGCAGGCCTGGGGTCTCTCCCCAGAACACAAGGCGATAGCGGTGTCCAGGCCCAAGTCCCCTTGAGGACAGGAGAGATGATGAGGGTGGGAGCACGTGGCCTGTGGATTGCTAGTCCCCAGTGCTCTGTCTCCTGCACATCCATCTTCCTGGAGAGAAATGACTTGTCATTCTCGGGGAGCAAAACTAGGTTCAACCAGCTGGTGCTTCAGGGATCAAGAGAGAGGGAGTGACCTGTTCCTGGGGTGGTGGAGCAGCCAGCCTCTAGGCTCTCCCATTGCCTAAAGCACCATCCCACGATATCCCTCCCCCATTTTGGCCATCGGTCCCAGGGGAGTTGGTGGGAGGCAGCTATGTCTTCTGAGCAGCCTCCCTGGAAGAGACGGGACAGTGCCCAGGAGGCCCGTGATGGGTCTCGGCACTGAGTCGGATGTCCTGGGCCCACTCCCTCACTCCATCTCCCTGCCCACCCCCTCTCATCCCACCTCAAGATTCTCAGTCCCTGGAGGCTGAAAAGGTAGCACTCCTCCCTGCAGCCACCCCAGGAGGCTGTACCAGCCAGATGGGTGACAGCAGGGCCTCTGCAAATCTGCTGCCCACAGCTGTCCCCTGGCGTCAATGTTCAGCTGACCCAAGGCCCCTATTACAGCGGTGGAACAGGTGCGGGGTGGGCCCTGCCAGGTCAGCTTCTTCCTGGGCCCTTCAGCTGGGTCACAGCCTGACCTCTCCCAGGCCCATGTCGCTGTTCTGGGCTGAGGTCCTAGCACTGCGGGACTCCACTCTGCCCTCTTCAGGCCTAGGGGCAGGGGCGGCCACCAGCTACTGCCTTCACCTGGAGACCACAGACAGGCCTCACTCTATCTGCCCATCCCGGGCTCCTCCCAAAGTGTCACATCCCTCTTCAACCTCTGAGAAGCTGCTGGCCCTCACCCCACAACCCCTTCCAGGGCATCCCTGAGGCCACAGGCTGGAGCAAGAGGTGAAATGTGTAGCGAGGGGTCCCATGGTAGGCATGGCCTCCCTGGGTGTCTGTTGGCACTGGGCCACACCTGACTCCTCTGACAAAGCTGCTGTGAAGCTAAGGTTCAGCCTAGATCTCTCTAGAAGGCATCTCAGGCCTCATGGCCCCCTCTGACTCCAGGGAGCTGAAAACGTCATCCTGCCAGATGAAGGTCGGAGAGGGGAACGTTGGGTCTTTTCACTAAAGGGAGAGTCTGAGGAAGCTACAGGTGGCCTGGGGGTGAGCTTCCCAGGGAGCTGGTGACCTAGTGCCCTGGATGGGATGTCAAGTCAGGTGGCTGGCTGTCCTCTCTGCCTGTTCCCTGCCCCCACCGAGGGCACCCATCTCTCCAGTCATCTGCTGGACACTGACAGGCTGACCATCTACAGGTGCAGTCCCAGCACAGTCTGCACGAGAATGGCGCCCTGGTGCCACTGGGGGATGCATTGTACGTGACAGGCGGCCGCTGGCAGGGCATGGACGGTGACTATCATGTGGAGATGGAGGCCTACAACACTGTGCGTGATGCCTGGACCCGCCATGGCGCCCTGCCCCGCCTTTGGCTCTACCACGGGGCTTCTGCAGTCTTTCTAGACGTCTCCAAGTGGACCCAGCCCTTCAGCCCTGCCCAGGAGCCCTAAGGCAGGGAGGGCATCCCGAGGAAGGGGATCCCCAGAGCAGCTCTTTATCACCCCTGTGGACTGGCCTTTTATTTTTGCTTGTTTGTTCCCTCGGAGCTGCTCTCCCCTCCAGGGCTGGGGCCACAAGGGGTCTTCAGATGGTACTGCTCAGAGGACATAGCCTCCATATCTGGAGCCACCACACCAAACTCTTGTGCTGAGCTGTGACAAGGGCACCTGAGCTCTGGACACCTGCTGCCCATTGGGGTTGCCAAGACTTCGGGCAAAGGAACCGGGATGGCATTCTCAGGACTCGTGTGTATTCCGAACATCAGCTGTTCCTGCCTCTGGGCCCCAGCAGTGGCTTTCTGAGCGGTTGCACAAATGTGAGGGGATTGCAGAGTGACTCACAGCGGTGTGGGATGGCCAGTAGCCTCCCCAGTCTGGGCTTCAGGCTCAGTGTCCACCCACATGGGACTGGCTCATTAAGCTTTAGGCTATCCCAACCCCAGCCTCTGCTTATTGGTGCTGTGTGTCTTTTTCTAGGGACAAAGGTGTCCCCACCAGACTCTTCCACCAGGAAGGCAGCCTACACAGAGGCACCAGGAAGGAGGGAGGTGGGCAGAGTGGGGAAGGGGAATCCTAGGAGATGAGCAGCAGAGGGTGCTCTCTAAGGGCTTTCCTCTGTTTCTTGGGGCAATTTGCATCAAAACAAAGTCTCTTCATCAGATTGAAATTCCCCAGTGGAAGAGGCCCATCCAGGGAGCCTGCCAGGATTTCTGGGAATGGCTATTGGGTGCGTTGGTAGCTTGCTCCTAGCAGCCTCATGAAAGAAGGTGGTGGATGGCCTCAGATGGGTTCCCTTCCCAGCACGTGGCTTGACTCTGGGTGGCTCAGGCCTTCCCAGAGTCTCTGCGTCTGACTGGGACCCGTGCAGGACTGATTCACCTGCCTTTGTAACCAGGAAGAAAATAAAGGACTCTCCCTGGGTGCCAAGTGGCATGTCCTTGCTGTCATAGGCTCAGAGGACACCAGGCTGCAAGTTAGGAGTTGGGCCCAACTGTGTGCCAGCCCTGGTACTGAGCCATGAAGTCCTTGGGAATCTCCGTTTCCCTTGGATCTGGGTTTCCTCTCCAAGGTTAGCCCATGGGCTCCTCCTGGAACCCAGCTGGGGACAGAGGGCCTCTGATATCCCTGGGTTCTGAGGACAGGAATCTCGGGTCTGTCCTGCTTCTGTAGGTCAGGATCCACTTTGTTCCAGACCTGATCTCTCATGCCCCTCTCTTATGGGAGCATTGGGTTGACCCCTGATAGTCTGAACAGAGTGGAGCCTCTGGATGTCCCTAAAGGAACAAGACCCCAGACCTGAGAAAACCTTCATCAGCTGGTAGATTGGGTGAAAACAAGGGTAAGGGTTACTAGGACCCTTGATTCTGCTTCTGTATGGAAATCTCCCAAATGTTTTCTATACAGTTATCGAAGGAGGATAGCAAGACTCAATATAAACCATTTTCGCAAAAATAAAAAATAAAAATAAATACTCGAACTGTCAAAATAGACATCCTGTGATCACAGAAGAGATGAAAGGGTGGTATGCTAGGGTAAGGCCGCTCTTTGCTCCTGTTGTCTCTTGTGGGAATGAGGACCACCCCCAGGGTAGGAACACGTGCCAATCCAGGGCCTGGCCCTCAGCTTTGGGGCACCAAACTGTACCTCTTCTGATCAGCTGTTCTCCCTATTCAGAGGGCCATTATATTCTTCTGAGTTCCAGGAGGAAAGAGACGGCCACTGGGTTAAGGAGAGTTTCATAGAGGGCCAGTTCCAGGCTGTGGCAGGGTGAAGGGAACCAGGGCAGGGCTGGAGTGGCTCCTCAGAACAGCGACAGAGGGTTCCTTTCAGAAAATGCTCACTCACCAAGGAATGTTCACGGGGCAGCCAAGGCATCCTCTTCCATCATCAAAATCCCCAGGATAACAAGGACTCATTAGAAGGTCTGGGACCAATATGGCCTGGTGCAGTGACTCACACCTGTAATCCCAGCATTTTGGGAGGCTGAGGCAGAAGAATCGCTTGAGCCCAGGAGTTCGAGATCAGCCTGGGCAACATAGTGAGACCCCGTCTCTACAAAAAATTTTTTAAAAGGAGCCAGGTGTGGTGGTGCATGATGGTAATCTCAGCTACTTGGGAGGCTAAGGTAGAAGGTTTGCCTGAGCCCAGTAGGTTGAGACTGCCGTGAGCTGTGATTATGCCATTGCACTCCAGACCCTGTCTTTAAAAAAAATTTTTTTTAAGGTTTGCTACTAATATGGGCTTCTAGAAAGGAGAATGAATAGTCTTGTAACTATGCCTCCTCCTTCAGGGCAAGGGAAGCCGCAGATACAGACTCCAAAAAACTGTTCAGAGAGGGCCACTGAGGAGCTGGAACCTTGGCTAAGGGAATGCAACCACTGCCCCCGGTGACCCAGCAAGGAAGAGACGGCAGAATAGATTCTCCACCCTCACTCTCTGACCTGCCCCCAGTCTCCTGCTAGTCCCTCCTACTGGTCAAACCCTACCAGGATTCAGAGGCAGGAGAGGCCATTGACAGGCTGTAGAGGCCACCCTGTGGGACAGAGAATAGGTGGAGAAGGTGACCAGGTCAGACAGAAGGTCGCCAGCACACTTGTCAGACACTCATGAGCCTCTCACAGAAAAGGGACACTAAGGTGCTCACTCACCAAGGAATGTCCATGTGGCTGTCAAGGTTCTCTTCCATCATCAAAGTCCCTGGGAAAACAAGGACTCATTAGAAGGTTTAGGGCTAATATGGGCTTCTAGAAAGGGGAATGGATAGCCTTGGAATGTGCAAAAACCCCCAGCTCCCTGGGAGTGTGGGGTAGTGAAACTTGCCTCCTCAGCCCAACAGCGCTCATGTGTGTCAGGTGAGTGCATTTTGTCTTTCCCATGGAGGATGCTGGGTAAACTGAGGCACCTCAGCAGACCCCAGTCTTTAGTGAGCACACCATACCCTCAGAAGCCAGGCCTAGCACAGCCAATTCAGGCTGAGCTCACTTTGGTTCCCAGGCAAGCTGGGGTCCAGGGATGCTTCTGGCCACTTGCACCAGACTTGGGTTTTCCAACACCTCTCAGACAAGTCCCCTTTATTATCGAGCATCTTCGCTGTTCCAGGCAGGAACAGTGATTGCTGGACTCAGGCTATTGACACCCTCACGTCACTGTAATTAAATGGGCTGGTCACCTGGCAGTTCTCTATAGTCACTCTAGAGCACTACTCTATCTGTTGGTCAATCAGTTGACCCAGTTGAAAGCACGAGTATTGACTTCAAATATTCCAGTGACTTCAGAAGAGGGATGCTCACAGCCACAAGCCACATGCCACCTCCTCCGGGGCTGTGTCCTTTGTCTTTTTTTTTTTTTTTTTTTTTTTTTTTTGAGTTAGAGTCTCACTCTGTCACCCAGGCTGGAGTGCAGTGGCACACTCACGGCTACCACAGCCTCGACCTGCTGGGCTCAGGCGATCCTTCTGCCTCAGCATTCCAAGCAGTTAGAACTACAGGTGTGTGCCACCACACTCGGCTAATTTGTAGAGATTAGGTCTCACCAAGTTGTCCAGGCTGAACTCAAACCCCTGGCTTGAGCTACCACGCCCAGTGTGTTCTTCATCTTTAATCTCCAGTGCCCAGAGTAGTGCCAGCTGCTCAGCCTGAGTGTGGCTGCTGGTGCTGTGTGTGCCACTGGTTCTCCTGGGCTCCCCAGCACCAGACATGGGAGGAAGGAAGAGAGAGCAGCCAGGTATGATGATGCTGATTCATCGAAGAACAATGTAGACTGTGACCAGAATCTTCATGGGGAAAGGAATTCCACTTTGGAATGTATACCCCAGGAGCCATTGCAACTTTTTCAAAGCTAACAGACTGCCCCAGGCACTTCCAGGGTGAAGGGCTGGGATTATTTGATCACTATCACACTTAAGAATGCATCCTCCTGGCTAGGGGCTGTGACTCATGCCTATAATACCAGCGCTTAGCCAGACGTGGTGGCTCACGCCTGTAATCTCAGCATTTTTGGAGGCAGAGGTGAGAGGATTGCCTGAGTCCAGGGGTTCAAGGCCAGCCTGGGCAATTTGGAGAGCCCTCATCTCTACAATAAATCAAAAAATTAGCCAGGCATGGTAGCACATGCCTGTGGTTCCAGCTACTTGGAAGGCTGAGGTGGAAGGATCACCTGAGCCCAGGAGGTTGAGGCTGTGGTGGCCATGAGCGTGCCACTGCCCTCCAATTTGGGTGACAGAGTAAGACTCCTACTCAAAAGAAAAAAAATACTAACATTTTGGAAGACTGAGGCAGGAGGATTGCTTAAGCCCAGGAATTCAAAACAAGCCTGAGCAACATAGAAAGAACTTGTCTCGACAAAAAATAAGCTGAGCACGGTGGCACACACCTGTAGTCCCAGCCACTTGGGAGACTGATGTGGAAGGATTGCCTGAGCTCAGGAGGTTGAGGTTGAGGTGAGCCATGATCATGTCACTGCACTCCAGCCTGGGGAGATAGAGTGAGACTCCGACTCAAAAAAAGAATATGATTCTTAGCAAAATGGGAAACAGAACCATCAGTTTCTACTCTCTTGCATTAAACCGAGAGGCAAACTAAAGAATTTTTTAAAAGTTAATTTATTGAAAACATGTAGACAATTAGCAGAGATTAACCCAAGAGACACTCTGGGTAGAAGTGGGAAAGAATATATTCCCTGATAGGCCTGAGGTTGCCCACACACCCTCCAGGATGACACAGTTCATTCTTGGCACTTGGCCCTGTGCCTGGCATGTCACAGGGACTGAGTAAATGCTCACTGAATTGACTAGAATCTGTGGGTTCCTCGGAGCTACTGACCTCAAGCTGTGGGGGCCAGGCCAGCCGTGGTTACGTTCGGTGACTCCAGAACCTTGGGCCCATCCCAAGATCTGAGCCTCAGTTTCCTCATCTGTGCAATGGGAATAATCCCATGATGAGATGTCGTGGGCTTGGAAGGTTCTGGTAAGCAGCAAAGGCTGCCTGCCTGCCTGTCGGGAGGCCACACAACAAGCTGACTTCAGGCTCCCACTGTTTTCGGGGGCAAAGGGAGCTTTTATTCCCATGACTTCATCGGCAAAGGTCCTTCCTTTGGAGGAAGAGAGGAGAGTGGGAACGGCTTGGCTGCATCAGGCTGCTGGGAAGCCAGGCTGAGGCCGTGACATGAGGGCACAAGAATGAGGATTAGATTTCAGTCAGGCGTGAAGGCGTGTGGGGGAGGCTGCCTCCCTCTTTGCCCGGTTCCATTCTGTGGCCACTCACTCAGTACTTCCACCCTGGGATTCACTGACTGGCCCCAGATGCCAGCACACTTCTGAACTGGGGGCTGCTCCTGCAAGGGGCGGGGACAGGGCCATGGGACCCTGTTTCTGGTGCTCCTTGATCTGTGGGACTCTTTGCTAAGCTCCACTTTCCTCTGAAGCTGTTTTGAAATGTGACCCCAGAAACACACAGGGGTCCTACCTGAAGGCCCAAGCCCTCTTCACTTCCAGGCCAGGCGGTGTCATCACCTCTGGATTGTGTTGCAGGAGGCTGCACTAGTACCAGAACCGATTTGATTTGGGCCCTCTGGCAGGGCATATGACATCACTAGGATTGTTCATTGTTTGGGAAAATAACTGGTTTTCACATGGTAACAGCTTCTGGCCTCAATGCTGGGGCCCCCCACTGCGAAGGGGAATGACGTCACATGAACATCTTAAGTATCACATTCCCCAAATCAGGGCCCCTCATCCCGCATGTCTCTGGTGTTGCCAAAGGTGATGGAGCCTTAGCCTCCCTTTCCCGGGGGTGCAGGTCGGGCCAAAACTGTCTACCCACAGGGAATTCTGCACCTGAGGGATACCTGGTCCTCATAGGGAAAAGACACAGCTGTGTTTTCTTCCATAATGTCCAAACTCATCACGTAGCTCATAGTTCAGACCAACTAGAATAGGAGGAACCCAAACAGGCAAAGCACATGGCTGTGAAGATGTAATCACACAGCCTCTGCCCGGGTTGTGTCCTGGGGCTAGCCGCCCACCTCTCTGGGCTAATCAGTGGAGTCTGTGAAAATCGAATGAGGTGCTGAGTGTGGATGTGTTTTTCCAGAAGCAAGAAGGTACCAGTCACAGAGCTATATCTCCCAGGGACAGGAACTCCTCTCTACCAGCAGGCTGCAGTTTTTGGCCAAGAGAACACCCATAGATAAGTCCCCCAAAAGAAGTGAAACTGAACACAATTTTAACTCGTAACCCTAAGCATATGCCCCAGAATGTGAATGTCATGTTAAAACATGTGACAAAATTCCACATGCCAGGCTTTTTTTTTTTTTAGTTGGAGTCTCACTCTGTGGCCCAGGTTGGAGCTCAGTGGCATGCTTACAGCCACCACATCCTCAACCTGCTGGGCTCTGGCAGTCCTTCCGCCTCAGTCTTCCAAGTAGCTGGAACTACAGGCGTGCACTAACATGCCCGGCTTATTTTCTGATTTACTGTAGAGACGAGGTCTCACCAAGTTGCCCAGGCTGGTCTTAAACCCCTGAGCTCAGATAGTCCTCTCACCTCGGCCTCCCAAAGTACTGGAATTACTGACTTGAGCCACCACACCTGGACCATGCCAGGCTTGTTAACAGACATTACACTGGGGCCAGAAATGAACACCCACCAGAGAAATCCTCAATTCTTTGAGGGCTTTGCCACAACATCCTCCCTTCTATGCGTGGATTTGGGAGCAGATGTCCTTAATTGTGACAAACCTGATGAATGTTTGCAGATGAAATATGTTCAGATACTTTGTTAAGTACATATTACATAAGCCAGAATTTCTCAAGTGTGTTCTTAGAGATGCAACTTCTACAGGAATTAAAATGTTTTCATCCCACTAGTAATTGAAAAAAAAAAATCTGTGGCTTCTGAAGGTAGGACTTCTATCCTGCAGTCCTAGTCTGCCTTTGAAAGACACCTTCAGAGCTGGGCATGGTGGTTCACACCTATAGTACCAGCACTTTGGGCCGGGCTCGGTGGCTCAGCCTGTAATCCCGTGCCTTTGGGAGGCTGAGGTGA